AAAGGAGGCAATCGTGGGTTAAACGTTTTAACATTTTTAGGCTTTTAGCCATGTGGCTCGGCGGGTGGTTTAGGGGGCCAGGAGTGTGGCTCCTGGGCTGAACCATGGGTCCTAGTCTTGGATTCTGTTTTCATTTTAATGGTTGACAGTTGACCATAGAAAATGGGCCCTGAAATGGGACTCCTACAAATTTTCGAGTCCATACTCCAAGAAACTTAGAAACATGCCCAATGTCTTTAAAATGGGCCAAATTGCCGGGGCACCGAAGGACCTATTTTAACTTCTTCCCTTTTTTTTTTTTTTTTTTAATTGTTATACAATCTAAACTATATAAAAAGAATCAAAGGATAAGAGGTGGATCTAGAGGTCGCAAATGTACAGGTTAAGTCAAGTTTGGGTTGGATTTACTTGAGTCACGGGTTTTATAGGTTAAGTCATATGCGAGTTGTGGGTTAATAAGTGTTAATCTTAAGTCGATTTTAACGGGTTATGAGTTGACCTATGAGTTGAATTTTTTTTTATTTTTGTATATAATTAATCACATTTTAACATTAATTTATTAAAATTAAATTATAGTAATTTTGATATGATTTTTTTAATAATTTTGCGTCTCTCTATTTGATTAATTTAAGCAAAATAACTTATTTTTGTGGAATATTTTGAATAATTCATTTAATTTTTTTCTTTATCAGTAATCATATATAATATACAATACTTGATTTATAAATTTTAAATAAACATAATTAACTTCATTTAAAAAGTTTTATAAATTGTAATAGTCACTATCATATTAGATTTTTTTTAATTATATTGTTCATTATTTTACCTTAAAAAATTATTTTATAAAAATATATTACTTAAAATTTTAAAAACAAATGGATCAAACAAGTCAATCTGTGAACCAACGAGTTAACCCATATTTGACCCATGACCCGTTCTAATTGACTCGAACAAATCACAGATCGAATACTACTTAACCATAACTTACTTTTTACGAGTTAAGATCAGATTAACAATTGGAATATGATGTTGCCACCTCTAAGTGGATCCTTTATATTAAGAACCTTTACCAATCTAACTGTTCTAGTTTTATAGACTTTATTACAAAACAAGGAACCTTTTTCCAAGACCATTTAATAAACAAATAAGAATAATCAATGTAAAATGGAGTTTGAAGGACTATCTCCATTAATGTAAATAAGTTTATCATCAAGATGTTAAAATTGAGTTTTCATGATAACAATAACTTTGATTTTGATGGTTATGTATAAATAACCCAATTAACCATCTTCTCATATTAGCTTGAGTAGAAAACAAATTACTATGTATAAACTGAAAAAGACTTGCTTGTAATCTAGCCGATCAAAAGAAAAAATACTTGTTTGAAATCTATGCAATACTGGTTACTCTTTTTAGAATGACTTTCATCAATTCAAGTTCACATTTGAACTGCTTGCACCCCAAAATTTTGTGCATTAAAAATTTTCTATAGAACCCATAGAAGGCAAACTTAAACCCACAACCTCTAGACTCTGGAACCTCTGTTTTATCCACTGTACCAAAGACCTCAATAGGGTATGAGAAACATTAATAATATGTGATCATATATATTACAGTTCATGAAACGGCAGAGAATCACGGGGAACCTAGGATCATGCATGCAATCAGCAGGCATATCATGAATTCCTCTTTTAGTTAGAGATTTTATTGCTATTATTATTATTATTATTATTATACAATCTAGTTATGAAAGCATCCAAACATGCTTAATAAATCTACGTTAGTAAGTATATTTTAAAATGCTTTTACTTTTTATTTTAGTTATATAACACATTATAAATATAAATAAATATTTTATAATTTAAATTATAAAATATAAATCATTAAATAATAAAAAATTCTTAGAAAATGAATCTAAACCCCTTAATTTAATTGTTAGAGTTTAACAATTTTTTTTACAATTTGAACTGATTACACTAAAAAAAAAAAAGAAGAAAAAACTAGACTCTTGACGAGTACTCAAAATCATCCGTGCAATAATCATATATGTTTTTTTTTTGAATAGCAAAAGAATTATATTAAATGAGTACAAGGGGTACTCAACCCATATACATCTATAAGATCATCACTATACTAGCTTTGGGGTTTAAAAGCCAAAAAACAAAAGCCACCCCATCTGTCCTCTATTTCTTAGTATTTAAACATCTCACTGGATCAGAAATCCAATCTATAAAAGAAATGTGTTCTAGATTCAATAGAGTTCTAACCCAGTGAAATGAGCAAGTTTGTACACGTTCGAACAGCTTATCCTCATTGAGTTCCTTTTGTTGGAAGGCGGTTTCATTTCTACTCAACCACGTTGACCACACTATGGCATACCACATCATGTTCCATCCCTTTTTCAGATTTTTTGGACCCTTTAGCCATCTGTGTTGGTGGAAGACCTGCTTACATGTGTTTCCGAGGACATAACATAGCCCCCACCAATTTATGCATCTAGTCCATAGCTTGTAAGAAACTTTGCAAGATATAAATAGGTGATCTGTATGTTCCTTACATTGAGTGTCATGTCACATAATATCACTCAAATCTCTCATAATCAGTTATGTATTTTTAATTCAGTACCTTTCATACACTCCATTATGGATCCATTATTATCCGTATAATTAAATTCATATTTGTTTAAAGGTCGTCATATTTGTTGGTTTTTAATCAAGCCTAGAATTTTAATACTGCATTATTTTCTTCTCCTACAAGTTGAAGAATGGAGACATTTTCCATACAAGACAATAACCTTTGCTTAAAGTATGTACTATTTTAATTTTTTTGATAATAATAGAAGGTTCTTAGTCTTCATAATTAGTCAATGATTTCAGTTGTTAAGTATATATAACAGCTAGCATGATGTTTCTTCTATCTTGTTGTTTAAGCTTTTGGAATTATACAAAATCATGACCCAGCTACCACAAAAATACAATACTCCCCATATAATAAAAAATAAACAAAAATTAATTAATCCTTCAAGGCAAGTTTGTCTGAATGTAGCTGAGGCAAGATATATGAGGAAATAGATAGTCCTTCTGTTGCTTCAAGACTTGAAAATGCCTATGTCATCTACAGCTAAAGCCGGCTGAACGAATAGCTAGATTTGAAAAGTTCAGATAAAGAAGAACAAATTTTACAAGTTTATGTCTTAAAAATGGTTCAAATTTAAAAGTTTGAATGATGATATATATGATCAGGAGTTGAAAACAGGTCTTACCGGGTCAGCAGTTGTGCAAGCAATATTCAAACATGGGAAATTATATGAAAATTATTAGTATGTGATTTAACTGCTTGATTAATCCAGTGATCGCTCCATCAAACACGTTAATCAGGTGGCTTTTGTCAGTACCTAATTGTCCCCTTTTAATCTGATTTCTAGCTTTACGTTCACTGAATGCTTCATATCTTAATCAAGTCTATTCTTGATGGTCGTAATTAATCAATAATTCACACCTCGTACAGATGCTTTTATATATTGTCTGATTCGTCATGTGCCATTACAAGCAAAGGCTAAAGCCCACTTTGGGGGTAACGGTTTGGTTAAAAACATCTCATTTACGCAAATATTACATAATATGTAGAGGAATTAGAATTATAGGAAATTAGTATTTTTAAATAATCAAAGAAGGTGATGAATTGAATTCTGCTGTGCCTTTATTAATGACCGTTAGTTCTTTCACGCATGTGGATCAAGGTTTGACAGTTCTCTAGAATGGGGTCTCCTACTGAAATTTCCAAAACTAAATATAGCGAGTAACAGCGACTGTGTATCAAACCATAGCTAAAGACAAGAAAGTGGGATGTGCCAAAGGACAAGAAATCCACACCCCAAAAGCTATTACCAAGACTTTTTCATCTGACCCTTTTCTCCCCGCTCACAGATTTTTAATTTCTCTCTCAAGTAGTTTTCAAGCATTCATTTTGTATCCATTTTAGCCTTTCCCATCTATATTAATTCCTTGCGCTGAACCTTTCTGTGTCAGCATTCTTCAAAGTCAATCCTAAAAGCAGGGATATGGATCAGCAGTATTGGATGTGGATGATGATGAGGAGTTCTTTGAGGGAGTCAACATGGGAAGAGAAGGTTGCAGAAGATGCAGCTGGTGCTCTAGGTGGATGCCTGTGGCCTCCTAGATCGTATTCTTGTAGCTTTTGCAGGAGGGAATTCAGGTCTGCTCAAGCTCTAGGTGGACACATGAATGTCCATAGAAGGGATAGAGCCAGGCTCAAGCAATCTCAAATAAGTGATTCCCACAATGTACATGTTCTCCATCATCCTCAAAACCACACCGGAAATCCCACAAAATTATTTGACGACCCTAACTCATCTACCCTTAATGTTTTTCCTGCTTTAGCTCCGGCAGCAACTTGCTCACCATCTAGGGTTTCAGATCCTTCCATGAAGAGAAACCTTAACATCTCAGATCATTCTACATCTGTAGGTTTCGATGGCAGCTGCGTTGAAACCAACTTGTCTGTAGGCTTGAGTTCTGTCTTTTCTCAAAACCGGCCGACAGCTAGTTGTACCGAAGAGGCAATCATCAGTTGTACCAAAAGGCCTAAGATCGCGGTCACCGCCCGGCAATTCTTTGTTTCCAATGACAGGTTTAAGGCAAACTCCATGGAAGACTTGGATCTTGAGCTCAGGCTTGGTACTGATCCACCAAAGGTGAAGTAGTGAAGGTGCAATAATGGTATATCAGTATTGTTATATAACTAAAACTAAGAGTTGCCTTTGGTTTTCTTTTCCTCTAGCTTTCTGTTATCCCTTTTAGATTCAATGAAAAACAGGCAAATGCCTATATTTTCTTCACATAGTTGTGTTTCTTCTTAAATTGTCCCAAGAAGAAAATCAGTCCATTATTTCTAGGATATATATTAAGGTCAAGATCGAGAGTTCAAATCTCTACAATTATTTATAGCAAATTAGTGTTAACATCTTCACTAATAAAATGAAAAACAGATTAATTAAATGGTTTCATTTTCAAGATTAGTTGATACATAGTTTCTAGTGATTATATGCTCATGCACTTTCATACCAAAAAGGAAACATGGGTTCTGTGTTCGTTAGTTATGTTAAGATTTATTCTCTCACACATGAACATGCAAGTATAACCAGTTAGATTTGTTACATATTTGCGAACAGAACTGCAGATGGAGAGATTCATCAGCACAGCTGTTAGCATGCAGCTGAATTGATAAGAGAACCAAACAATTTTCCTTTTACCTTGTGAACACTATTAGCTAGCTACTGTTCCATTTCAGACATACCAGACATGACTCATGAGAGAGATAAGTTTCACTGTGGGGTTTTCAAGGGGGTGAAAGAAACAGACAGTAAGTCACTTCATCAATAGAATCAAAAGCAGGGCACATTTCAGGAATTCTCTTTTTACCTGTATAATGCACTGTTACATTCCTTTTCTTCTTCTTTTTTTTCCCCCTGATTTTTTTGTCTATACAAATTAATAATTTATTTCAATTACTCTAAGTTAAGGGTGGCAGGTTTAAAGACTCTTTTTTCTTTTAACCAGTGATTATTGATTTTGTGTAAACTATTAGGTACGTATAATAATATTTGTTAAAATTTTCTTTTCTCATATTGCTACAATAATTAATATGGTATAGACTGTATTCTATTGTTTATAAGTGAATTTAAAAAACTTTTACATGTATTTTAAAGGAAAATCAATCAAACGCAAGGTATCTGGATTTACAGGTCAAGTATACAGTTTATTTGTCCCCATAGTATTCCAAGAGCTTCTGTTCCATTCCACTCCTTTCTCAATGTCTACAGAAAATCCAAATCTACACCTAACACATTGGAATCAAATTGAATAAAGTACACACAACATGACACTGATTTAATTACTCGGCCACAGATTTTTAAAAAGGGGAAGAAGAATTATCATATCATTGCGCAGTTTGGAACTATTTCCACGTCCTTTTATTGTTGCTTTTCTTGAAAACCATATATAACATTTATTTTATTCAATATGGTCCTACTAATAGTACTCTACTCCAACAGCCAAACCCTAACACAATCCAAAAAAGAAAAAAAAATGAAAACCGGTACCCTAGCGCACCTATATGGTTCCCTGCAAAGTGCTAGCCGGCGGTTCCTGCAGAATACACGGCGAGGTCACCGTGTTGTTTAGTTGTTTTTCAACGTATACTTTATAAGGAAAATTGATGAAACATTTCCTTTTGACTTAAAATAACTGATGCATTCATACATATTGCTATTGTATACAGGGAATTTATGTTATACCCACAAAAAAAGAAATTTCCCCATAGAGGAAAATATGAAGTTCTGTTGCTTTTTCTAACATGGGTTAGTTCCTTTTTTTTTTTTTACTCGTAGATTGAGGGGGTGAAACCGAAACATGGAGTATATACAAGGAAAGTGAGGTTGGTTGCTTAGGTTTCTATGAAGTGTCTGGTTTTGTGTAAGTGGAAGTTAAAGGAGAACAGGTAGGGGGGGTGTTAAAGGAAATAGAGGAGTCAGAGTTTTAAAGCTGCACATGGGAGCATATATGATGTCAGTTCCTCTTTCAGAAGATGCAATAATTTTATTTTATGGGAATGAGGATATATATTCTCAGCATTGCGTGTGTTTCCCTATTACTTATATGAGGCTTGCCTTGATAATATGGATCTTTCACAATATTGCAACAGTTTGTACTTTATCCGTCAGTTTCTTAAAATGAATGCTTCTTCAGACTCATTCATATGCATAGCGGGTAGATTTAATGCAATTAGTTCACTAGAAAAGTGTTTATTCTCTCTATTTATAAAAAATTAATTAAGAGAATAAAGTACTTTAAAAAAAAGGTTGTTTCAATAATTTTTAATTAAAAAATTAAAAAAATTTAAAATAAGAATCAAAGTTGTTCTTTTGTTTCTTATTTAATGATATTTTTATTGAAATAATATAATTTTAAAATAATTTTTTTAATTTATTAAAGAAAAAAATGCAAATCAATTATGATTTTAAAAAAATTAGAGTTTTAATATTAAATTGTATAGTTTTATTTAATTTAAATTTTAAAATTTAAAATTGATTAGATTTTTAAATTGTAATTTAAGTTTTCAATATAAATTAAAATTTTAATTTTTTAAGTCAAAATTGATACGCGCTAACCATTTAATCAAAAATTTAATTAATAAACACTAATATTTTTATTTCTCTCAATAAGAGATTGGTTTTGTCCTAAAAAAAAAGGTGGGGGACTACATAAATGTAAGAAATTGGTTGCTCGATCACTAGAAAATATGGGGCTATTCCATCAAAAAAAAAAAAAAAAAAGTGGGCTAAGTACTCATTTTGTTGGGCCTTAGTGCAATGGTGTCTAAATGTCCATCAATCAAACGATTCAAAATAGATCCTTGGGCCTTCCATTAAAGAATTAAGAAAGAAGAACAAAGGCCTAAAACTAAAGCAAATTTTTTTCTTTTTCTTTCTAATATTTGAAGCCCAAACCAATGTGTAGGGAGAAAAAGGTAGAGATAAGTATACAAATTTTCTTATTTATTTATTAAAAAATAAAATTTTAAAAAATTTAAATTAGGTGTTAAATATTTATTTAAAAAAAATAAATTTTATGATTTTTTATTTAAAAATTTAGTAGATGACGATGATTACATAACAAAATAAAACCTTAATTGAAATAAAATAAAATTGTATTTTTAAATTAAAAAAATTACAGAATTTATATTTTTAAACAGAAAAAAATGGCACTTTTTTCAAAATGCGTAAGTTTTTAAATCCCAAGGAAAGCCAGGCGGCGTCGTTTTGGAAGTTGACAAGGGAGTCAAGGTAGAGATAAAGATTCCAATTTTGTTTTTTTTTTTCTATTTAAAACTGTTAATTTTGTTATTTTTTAAATGAAAATGTTAACTTTCAATTTTTTTTATTTAAAAATATCAACTTTTAATTTTTTTATTTAAGGATTACTTGGTTAGCTAACATATTTTTTTAGATTAAATATCTGAATTGGTCCCTCAACTTTTATTTTTTAACCAATTCATTCTTAAACTTCAAAAAGTACTAAAAACATCTTTCAACTTCAATTTTCAATTTCGTCTTTCCATCAGTTAAATGTTGATGTAACTAATTTTTTCACTAAGTGATTGACTATTTTACATTTTCAATATTAGGTGGGAAATCCATTATGTAAAAAATAATTATGTGAATTTTTTTAATTTTAAATAATTTAAAAATTACTTTAATTTTTAATTTTACTTTATTTATATTTAAAAATTAAAATAATTAATATATTTTCCCATTTAATTAGTCCCACCTACCATTTAATAAAATTAAATAAAAGTTAATTAATTCTTTCATGAATTAAGAAATAATTTTATTAATTGAAAATTAAAATTGAAGGATGTTTTCAATACTTTCTGAAGTTTAAGAATGAATTGGTTAAAAAATAAAAATTGAAAGATCAATTTAGGTATTTAACTTAAAAAAATATGTTAACTTATGTCAACAACACCACCAATTAATCCTTAAATAAAAAAGGTTAAAAGTTGATATCCTTAAATAAAAAAGTTAAAAATTGACATTTTTAAATGAAAAAAATTAAAAATTGATATCTTTATCCAAAAAATAATAAAATTAATACCTTAAATAGGAAAAAATACAAAATTAGAATCATATTTACACCTTTACCTTGACAAGGGGTAATAATCGGATAAATGCAAATGAAGTGATCTGACCAGTGACAGGTGTGTGACTCATGCTTGATTATAAATTCAGTAGCTAGCGGCAGCAGATACTTTTCAGAGTAAAGAGACGGCCGGAAAAATCATGGCGACGGCAGCGAGCAGCTCGACGATCAAAGACCCCAGATGGTCTCTCAGTGGCTTAACCGCTCTCGTCACCGGTGGCACTCGTGGAATTGGGTATGTCTCTAAACTTTTCTCTTCAATTCTAATTCATTTTCACTCTCTCAAAAGATGAAACTTTGCAAACAAATCCCATTTTACTCAATTCTGAGTTTTAAAGTTCTTAAATTGCTCAATATCTGACTATGGATAAACCCTTTTGTGTTGAATTGCCTTTTTGAATTCATTTTTTACTTTCTTTGTGCTTTGTAGGCATGCAGTAGTGGAGGAACTAGCAGGGCTAGGAGCAACGGTGCACACATGTTCAAGAAACGAAACAGAGCTGAATAAGTGCTTGAAGGAATGGGAGGGCAAGGGTTTTCGGGTCAGTGGCTCAGTCTGTGATATATCCTGTGGAGACCAGAGGGAGAAGTTGATGGAAAAAGTGGCTTCTCTTTTCAATGGAAAACTCAACATACTAGTAAGTATTACCTTAAGGCCACTTTATGATTTTGTGTTTAGATTCTCCTTTATTGTGTAATTTGGCTTGATTGTTTTGCGTTTGCATTAGAGTTTGGTTGTAATTTAGTCCCTGTTGTCATTACTCTGCTTTTTGTTTCACTTGTTTAAATTGTGCCTTGTGCTGTTGTGGTTGAAACTGAAAAATCTATAGCTGCCTTTGAGCCTGTTGTTTACCACTTTTTGTAAGGTACGAGATGGTGTTAATGAAGTGCCCTATGAAACTGCGTAAAAGGCTTTAAATTGTGTTTATTTGGGAAAAAAGAGAACGTAAAAGAACAACTTTCCACTTAAAAGGGCTTGCTATTGTGCATAACTTTGCAACTTTTCATCTGAAGGGTTACTAAGAATTGGTATATTCTTTTACAGAGAATATTCATTTTATTGAAGATCTACATGTGGTTAGTTTCTAACGAAAAAAGAAAAAAAAAAAAATTGCGGTATGGTTAATTAAAAGAATAATAGGACCACTCTATGTCTTCAAGACAGCTGGATAAGATAGAACTGCACAAAAGAAGATATATTTTAAGAAAAAAGTTATTTAGTGCAGTTCTTTGTGGCTGATTCAGACACGTTCATTTTTGTATTATAGAATGCATGGTTTTTATTTATTTGTGTAATGCCCCAAATCCCATGTCAAAATGGAAATATTAGTATGATTGGTGTATAAGTGTAGAGCCGAACTACTATTAACAACTTGAGATTAAGTTTTTGAGAGTTGTAGACCTTGGCTCCAAGAGTTATTAGGTCAGTGATAGATTTTAATATGAGTTGTTTCAATTTATTTATATTTATGTCAATTGCTTCTCTTTATAAATCATGATATTATTTATTTTTTTATTTTTTTATTTGGACCATTAGAATAACTGCGTTGTTGGTGCACTCTTAAAAATATTTGCCTGCTACCCTTTTGAAAGGAGTGCCCTAAAAGATTGTTCTATTGAATTTGAATCTACACACCCTTCTGCTTTTAGGTTAACAATGTAGGGACAAATATCAGAAAGCCAACTGCTGAGTACGCTGCTGAAGAATTCTCAAAAGTCATGACTACCAACTTTGATTCTGGATACCATCTGTGCCAACTTGCGTATCCTCTTCTGAAAGCATCTGGAGTGGGAAATATTGTGTTCATTTCTTCTGTTTCAGGCCTGTTCCATGTAGCTAGTGGGTCCGTTTATTCAGCAAGTAAAGGTGAATTATCATTCTTATATCTTACCTGCTTTAGATCTTCTACAAGTTGATAAATGAAAAGCAATTTCTAAGGTTTGTTTTTTTGGTAACATTTCTTATGCTCAGCTGCAATGAATCATCTTACAAAATATCTGGCTTGTGAGTGGGCAAAGGATAATATACGGTCCAATAGCGTTGCACCTTGGTATATCAAAACCTCTCTTGTAGAAACTGTAAGAGTCCTACCTCCCATCATATTTCATCTACCTGTGTATCTTTTTCATAAGGTTATTTAGTTTCTTCTTCAACATTTTTGTGGATTCATTCTTCATGTATCTTGCATTAATATTGACACTATTGATGACAACATTCCTTGTTCTTCCATTATATTTTGCCGACAGCACATCATCAATGTCTTAGGATATTTATCATTGCATCATCGTCTTGATGGTGGATATCTCACCCAAGATGTTACTGTCTCCCCATTTTTCTCTGCTAAATGGACAGGACTCTAGTCTGCAATCTTTAATCAGAATTTCCATTGAAATTGGGTTCTGGACCTCTGGCCATTTCTAATTTCTGGGAATAAGGATTTATAATGACTGCTGATAAAGCTTAATTATCCAACTTTATCAAACAAATCTAACCGTCGCTCATTCATTCATTCTTTGTTCTACAGGATCTCGAAAACAAACAATTCTTAGAAGAGATAATCTCACGAACACCTCTCCAACGTGTTGGGGAATCAAAAGAAGTATCATCTCTGGTGGCATTCCTTTGCCTTCCAGCAGCCTCATATATCACCGGACAAGTTATTTATGTTGATGGAGGATTCTCAGTGAATGGTTTTAATCCCAAAATGAGACTAGATTTCCCCTAATGAGGTTGCATTATATGCACAATAAAATTTCCCCTGATGAGGTTGCATTATATGCACAATAAAATTTAGTAAACCATGTTACTGCACTGTATGTGGTCACTAAACATGTTATTCAGGAGAATCCGTGTCAGTAAATTTGATAAATAATAATAATGTTCGACACTATTTATTTCTGTTTCGATAAATAACTAGTTTAACAACATGTGACTTGTGCATCTGACCTTTGAGGTTTAGTGGCAATAGCTATCTCGGTGCATTTTTTTTTTCCGGGCTGGGTTCGAAACCCGTCCTTGCAAATATGTTCAAAAAAAAAAAAAAAAAAAAACCATGTGACTTGTTACATTTTACAGCATGATGGCTGCTTTTTGTATTTAAATGAAAGTTATTATTGCATTGGAGAGATATTTTTTAGATTTTTTCTCCCAAAAAAATAAAAAAATTATAGTTTAATTTATACGGCATAATTTACTATTAAAATTTTTTTATTTAATTATTTATCATTTATTTAA